CCGAGGCACCAGTTCTTGCCCTACCAATACAAGGTATTGAGTATGATATTTATAGTGAGGCTAACATCCAAGGGCTTGGATGTGTACTAATGCAGAAGGGTAAGGTGATTGCCTATGCTTCTAGGCAATTGAGAAAACACGAGGTGAACTACCCTACCCACGACCTAGAGTTGGGAGCGGTATTTTTTGCACTAAAGATTTGGAGGCATTATCTCTACGGGGAGACATGTCACATCTACACCGATCATAAGAGCTTGAAGTATGTATTCACTCAGAAAGAGTTGAATATGAGGCAAAGGAGATGGATGGAGTTGATCAAGGACTATGACTTGATCAACGACTATCATCCCGGTAAGGCCAACGTTGTGGCCGATGCAGTGAGCAGGAAGAGTATGTCGGGGATGTTACTCACATGCCTACAAGCGTTACGGGCACACGTGGAGGTGTCCTCGAGTGGGGCACTCATAGCGAGATTTGAGGTTAGACCTACGTTGCTGAGTGAGATCAGTAGAGGTCAAGGCATTGATGAGGAATGTCAGAAGGTCCGCGAACGGATCCTTGCGGGACCCATTGAGGATTTTCGAGTACGTGATGATGGCCTTTTATTGTTCAAAGATCGCGTATGCGTACCACATAATGAGGAGCTCCGGAAATCCATACTCGGGGAAGCCCATTCTTCAGCCTATGCTATGCATCCAGGAGGTACAAAGATGTACCGAGACCTGAAGGAAAGTTATTGGTGGTCTGGTATGAAGAGAGACATCGCGGAGTATGTGAGCCGATGCCTTACTTGTCAACAAGTTAAGGCGGAGCATAAGCACCCGGCGGGACTTTTGCAGCCACTTACCATTTTAGAATGGAAGTGGGAACATGTCACCATGGACTTTGTGGTAGGGTTACCACGGACGGTGAACAATTACGATGCAGTGTGGGTGGTGGTTGATAGGCTTACCGAAAGTGCACACTTCTTACCTATCAACATCACTTATCCTCTTGAACATTTGGCCAAGTTATACACGGAGGAGATTGTGAGGTTACACGGAGTTCCAATATCCATCGTCTCGGATAGGGACCCAAGATTCACATCTAGATTTTGGCCAAAGTTCCAAGCATCATTGGGGACTAAACTGAAGTTTAGCACGGCGTTTCACCCTCAGACGGATGGACAATCTGAGCGGGTGATACAGATTTTGGAAGACATGCTTAGGGCGTGTGCTGTGGAGTTCCAGGGGAGTTGGGACAAACATTTGGCACTAGTGGAGTTTGCCTATAACAAAAGTTATCAAGCGAGTATTGGCATGCCTCCATACGAGGCATTGTATGGGAGGAAATGTAGGACGCCGTTGTGTTAGGACAATGTTGGCGAGGCCAAGCTCGAAGGTATAGAAATTGTTGAGATCACCAAGGCTAAGGTGAAGGTTATTCGAGATAGACTTAAGGTTGCCCAAGATCGGCAGAAGAGCTATTCCGATAAACGACGTAGACCGTTAGAATTTTCAGTTGGTGATGAGGTGTTTCTAAGGATTTCTCCTGGGAAAGGTATCATCTGATTCATATCGAGGGGTAAGCTTAACCCTCGATACATTGGTTCGTTTGAAATTCTTGAGAGGATTGGGGCCGTGGCTTATCGTCTCAAGTTATCACCTGAACTTGAAAAGATTCATGACGTGTTCCATGTATCGATGCTCAAGAAGTATGTACGAGATCCGTCACATATTCTTGAGAGACCGCCGGTAGAGATCCGAGAGGAGTTACAATACGCAGTGGAACCGGTGAAGATAGTGGTGAAGGTACTTTGGAGGAGTGATCGAGTCGAAGAAGAAACCTGGGAGACCGAGGTCTCAATGAGGGAACAATACCCGTTTCTTTTCGATTAGACACGTGATTTCGGGGACGAAATCCCAAATAAGGGGGAGTGAACTTGTAACACCGTCCCCAAATATATTTACTTTTTAGTAAATCATGTAATAAATCTTGAATATTGATTTATGAATTTACGTGGTTGTGAATTTTTGGTTATTTCTTTCGCGTGAATAGTGAACTGCACGTGGGATCCACACCGGGTGCGGGGACCGTCCGGTAATCCCGAGACCACATATTATATTCATCTTGGTCTAGATAATATTTATATGGTGGTATATATTTTAGTTGGGCCATAGAAAGGGCTTAGGGTTGACCCGTCGGTCAAATGAAGCCCAATTACCGGTATTGGTAATTTACCGGATAACAGTCCGAATTGAATTTCGGAGACTTCTAAATTAAAGTTGGGGAATATAAAATAATTCTAAAGTTACATAGTGATTGAAATCACACAATATATTTTATTTGGACCGATAAAATAAAATATAATTATAACAATCCGAAAAATACAACTTCCGGGACCGATTGTACATTTCGGGACACAAAGAGATGACCTCCCACATGAGTGGGGGCCACCCCACGTTTTTTTTGTGCTCAAGTTAATGTGAGGGGGCTAGTTTGGCAAGGGAGGGAGCTGAAAAGATGCTATTCGCATCTAAGGTACATAGATGACCCCCCTCCCATCACTTATTTGCCAATTAAGACAAAAAGTGAACACCCTCCTCTCCCATCATCATTATTTCGGCCAAGCTACCCAAGAAAGAGGAAGAAGAAGCTCTCTCACTTTTTTCCATTGTTGAATTTGAGCTCAAGCAAGGTTGGTCAAAAGAGGAAGCTTGAAGAAGGAAAACGTTAGGAAAAGTATGGAATATTAAGGTAATAAGCTTGTAATAACTTTTCCTCTACTTTTCATTTATCATATGGCTTATATAGCATATGAAGTACCCCTAGGGTTGTTCTACATGTTTAGAGGTGTAGAACAAGGGGTTGAAAGGTAGTTCTAAGTCCAAGAACGGACTTAGAAGCCAAAACAATCGGTTCGCCGGAAAATAACCTTTTAGAGGTTATTTGTATTGATATGAGTTTTGTGATGATAAAACCATGTTAGGAGCTTAAATAGAGTGTTTCTAGAGTTCACCGGAGTTCGCCGGAGTTTCGCCGGAGTTCAACCAAGGAGCGTAGAACACGCTAAAGCTCATTTAAGGTGAGTGGATGGCTTAATGTCTTGTAACTTTTGGGTTAAGCATGAGATTACCTTAGTATATGTTATGTGTGCTCATAATAATGTTTAAATGAATTAAACATGTGATTAGCCAATTAAAGTGATTAGGCTTGTATGAAGTGAACTATTGAAATATGCATGACTTGTGGAGTGAAAATGCTCATAAAAACATATGTGATATGCTTAGAGATGAAATGTGCATAAAATCGTTATTTATAACTTAGTACATATTGTGACTAAGTTGACACACATTGGATTTGGAATAGAGGGTCAACCGAGAGTTGACTGGCGCCGGTTTGGCCTTACTTTACCTATATGCTAATTTTAATGCATGAGTTGCATGGATGATTTTGTTTAGGCCTTAAGACTTGGTCTAGTCTTGTTTATTGATTATGATATAGGCCCTATCTAGTATGATATGTGGTAGATCATAGGTCGGGTGGAGTACCCAAGGATCGGGCGGTATCCTCAAAACTCGGTTATATAGGGTGGAGTACCCAAGGATCGAGCGGTATCCTCAAAACTCGGTTATATAGGGTGGAGTACCTAAGGATCGGGCGTGTATCCTCAAAACTCATAGATTACTATGTAGTAATTCAGGACTGGGCGGTGTCCTTATGATTATTTGATTTGGACAGGAGGAGTCCTATACACTCATAGGTCTATGGGTGGGTTGGGGTTTTAAGTCAAGGACATTGACTACTATTATCTTTCTCAATTAAACAATGACCTACGGGTCGAGTATTTCCATGTGTATATAAGTACTGATATGTATTTTGTAACTTGGGGTAAGGAAGTATAAGTATATGTATCACCCTATGTTTGGGTCTTATACTTGAAACGTTAGTTACTCTACATTTAGCTTGCTACTCGCTCGATACATGTACTGACCCCTTCGGGGGGGGGGGGGGGGGGCACCATTTCAGGTTGAAGCTAGAGCTTGTTGTCTACACCTTTGCACGGGTAGAAAGAATCTAGAGGAAGACATGATTCGTGCTTCCTTTATTATTTTAAATCATAAACTATGCTCATGGATACTTTTGTAATATTACATTGTTTTAGCGTGCGAGCCTACGTTTTGCCATATGTGGCTTATGATTGATCGTTGAATATTTTCAGCTATTCATTCAATCTATGATGTGATGTTGTTATGTATGTTTACTACTGAGTATGGTGTGAACGATGTTCATGAACGCCTTGTGTGATTATGTGAGGTTGACTTGCGAGTGACGTCACTTAATCACACGACGGTTGTACACGCGCTTAGATGCGATCTGGGGCGTGACACTAATAGCTTAATTACTTTTTTAAAATAGTGAATGTGTTTATTTTTAGTATCAGTGCTATAAAAATGATATGATATAGAAGGGGTTTATTCTGCGGTGTAACTCGCATACATTATGATCTAACTCGCGTACATTAAGATGTAACTCGCGTACATTAAGATGTAGCTCTCGTACATTAAGATGTAACTCGCAGAAGAAGATGTAACTTCATGATATATTATCAAATATTGTAACTTCAAGAATCAAAATAAACAAACTCAATGTCTTAAAAACATCTAAAAACATATAAAAGTGATAAAAGAAATTTAATTATATAAAAAGTGTATCCATATAAAAAATATTATAAAAAAGTGTATTGAATATAAAAAGTATTACAAAAAAAGTGTATGCGTATAAAAAATATTCCAGAAACAAAATTAGTGTATGAATATGAAATGCAATATATGTATTTTATTTAGATTAATAAACTTTTTGTTATGTATTGATAAAGAATAAAAAATAGATTCAATTACTACCTCCGTTCCGGTGGACTTTGCCAAGTGCAAAGTAAATGAGAAATAAGAATAGTAAAAACTGTGTGATTGAGATTTGTGCAGAGGAGAGAGAAATGTGTGGAACCACAAATTAGTTGCTTTAATAGGAAAGTGACAAAATTTTTTGGGACAGATAAAAAGGAAAGTTGGTAAAGTTCAATGGGACGGAGGAAGTATAATTGAAGATGAAGATAAAGAAAAGTAGGATTGCCATTAAATTTTTAGTATTTTAATTTGATGGAAAAAAAAGAATTGAACAAAAGAAAAATAAATAAAGAAAAGTAAAAGAAAAGAAATGAACGTTGCTCCACGAAGAAAGAAAAGGGAAAGTATGCACTTGCCAAAAGTGGGATCGGCACACCACGCGGAATGTGCGCCGATCCACGGTATAATTTGCGCAATATTAGATACTTCATATTAAAAGTAAAGAATACACCATTTTAAAAGATCTGATAAAATAAGGGCTTTTTACTTGAATATTAGTAATTTAGAGCCAATTTCCCAAAAAGTGACCACTTTTATAAAAGGACAAAAATGTGACAAAGAAGGTCATATATTTGGAAAACATAGTGTCTGCTGGTTTTCATGTCAATTTTATATGTCACTTCCGCCGTCAAACGTGTCACTGTGCAGCTAACCATGTCACTATGTCATCGCCGACCACCACCTCCGACCACTGCCGGGGACCACCACCTCCGGCCATTGCCGGCGACTACCACCACAACATCAAGCCCCAGCCATGCTCCCTGACCCGATCCAGCAACTTCCACAACCCCCTCCCAGCCCTTCCCAGCCCCATCTCCCTCCCAAAACCACCGCACCCCACCCCACACCCCACCCCTACTCCTTGATAAAGTGGAGCATCGGCACCTTCCTAACAATCCTCGCCCCACCGACGCTCTAGCCGTAGCCGCAGCCGCCCAGATCTAGCCGCACAACCGCTCCAAGTAGATCTGCAACTGCACCATCCATCGATTCCGGCGGCGCTCGAACAGAAATAGAAGGAGAAGAAACAGGCTAGAGAAGAAGGCAATTTCGATGAACTTCGATTAACTTCCAAGCGGACAACAACCTGTTCACCCAACCTTCCCAGCCTTAGCCCCCCTCCCCATCTGTTACACCTCCACCTGCAAGCCGCCGCCCATCGTTGAACCATAGACGTCGTCAATCTCCGAACCAAGTCGCTTCCATCGCCAAACCATAGCCACCGCCATCTCCGAACTGTAGACACGACGGAGAAGAAAGGAGAGGCAAATCTAGAAGAGAAACTATTGCTACCTTCGACGGAGCAGCCAAAAGCGGCGGCGAAGCGCTGGTGGCCGGAGGCGACGAAGTATGGCTACCTTTGGCGGAGCAGCAAGATTGGAGGTGCCGATTTGGGAATGGAAGAGGAAATCTGGTGGAAGCGCGCATTTGGCAGATGAACTATGCACAGGGACGGAATGAAGTACGGCTAAAATTTTACACCCTTTTTTTGTCTATCTCAATTTTGGTCATTTTTTTGTCCGAGGAAAGCGGTGGAGTAATATCTAAATTTTTAGTATTTTAATTTGATGGAAAAAAAAGAATTGAACAAAAGAAAAATAAATAAAGAAAAGCAAAAGAAAAGGAATGAACGTTGCTCCACGAAGAAAGAAAATGGAAAGTATGCACTTGCCAAAAGTGGGATCGGCACACCACGCGGAATGTGCGCCGATCCACGGTATAATTTGCACAATATTAGATACTTCATATTAAAAGTAAAGAATACACCGTTACAAAAGATCTCATAAAATAAACGGGAAAGGAAAGTATTTTATATTTATAAGAAACAATTGCCAATTCCGTCCCATTCCATATAGACTTCAGAGTTCAGACGGAAAATCAAATCTTCTTTTAACTACAACTCCAATTTGTCCTGTATATATATATATATATATACATTATTCAAAACAGCCGGAAATCAAATCGTAAATTGTTACAGATGTTTAAAAAGACCTTCTTCTACAACTTCATCCCAAGCAAGGTTGAAGAAGAGGCGTGCATGGCCGGCACCGGCACGTGGCAAGTGACACGTACGCTGGTGGAGGTGCGTGACTGTTTCCCGCCGCCGATGGTGGATCCGGCGAACCCATGGCAGATCAGAAAAATGCTAACGCATTACGAAGCGATCGCCGGGAAGCTGGTGGTGCCGTTCGCCGACGCGTTTGACCACGTTTTCCGGTACTGGGGTCTTTGCATGGTCAACCAGGTGGTTATGGGGCAGAAGAGCAACGTCGTACTTTGGGACGTGACGGACCAAAATAGCCCTAAGAGGTACGGCGGCTGGTTCGAAGTTCTTCCCGGCGACGATTACATTCTGGCGTGCATGGATCTGTTCAAAGACCGGGGCATGGCGGTGGACGACGAGGTTGGACTTTATTGGGATTTCAAGAGTTCAGCTTTTCACTTCAAGCTACTACTTCACAAGATTGCCAAGTGATTATTATTCAAAAATTGTTCTTACACAGTTGCAGACTTTATTGTATACGCGTGTGTGAGAAGCTATTTTTTTGTGCCTGTTCAGTGTTTACACACAAAAAATAGATGTTCACATACGTGTAGGTGAGACCCATCCATCGATTATCAAGTTGGGCTCCAAAGGAGTGTTACTCTTTTGACTTGAGTTCAGCCACCGACCGGTGACGTGTGTCCATTCCAGTGGAGGACCTAGGGAGGGGCCTAGGGGAATAAGTGTCGCCGCTTTCAGCAAGTAATTTCACTACTACTACTTAGAATAAAATAAGTGTCCCACTTCCGGCCAAGAATTTCACTACTAGTGTACCCGTATTCTGACAAATCTCTGGGTCCGTCACTGATCCATTCACAACAAACAAAAATACAGAATTGTCACGGATTTGACACGGCTTTACCAACAATTTTGTGTCAAAAAATAGCTCGTGCCTAGGGATGGACCCGGGCCGGTCCGGTTCCGATTCCGGGCCGGGCCCGGGAGGGCTTTTTTGCAAATCCTTGGGCCCGGAACCGGCCCGGGTTGATACCGGGCCCGGTTCAATGTCTATTTTTTTTTGCTTTCTTGTTATCCCCCGACCCCCCCCCCCCTCACACCCCACCCCCCAAACCTCCCCAAAACACTCAGCCCTACCCTAGGAAAGGAAAAAAAATTGAAAAACAAAATTGACCGGGGCCGGCCCGAACTGCCCGGGCCGGTTCGCCCAAAACTGGGCCCGAGCCCGGCCCACCCGACCCGCCCAAACGGGCTAAAAGCCATACTGCCATACTTGACCGAAACATCCTTGTTTAAGTTTTTTTATATGGAGTAGTAAAATGCATCTTTAGTTAATGCAGTTTACTTCGTTAATAAGTTAAACACTTTTATATAAGAATAGTGGGTGTGGTCGTGTGGAACAATAACACCTTTATAATTTAAAAAATGTAAGAATTTAAATCTTAATCATAGAAATAATTAAATCTTAATCAAAAACATTAAGGACTTTGTGCAATTAAGAGTTAGCTAATTAGATATTGGTAATTGTGATTGATCTCATAGATACCCGCACCGAACAACCACGGTCAAAACAGGAAAAACTGCATTGACCGGGTAACGGGCACGAGGGCGAACAAGGAAACACAAAAACTCAAAGACATTCGATTCCCTTCCCTCCCCTCATTAACCAAGCACACCCTACATAGAGAATGAAATTCATATATTGACAGTAAGATAGGAACTAAAATAGAAGCTCAGAATCAATTGACTAATTAATATTTGGATTTAACTCCAGTCATTGTAACTAGACTCCTATCATTTCATCAAAAGCCAGATATACATTTTTTGAAAGGATAGATATACATTATTTTATTTTGCAAAGATAAATAAATGATGAGTGCATGAGAATCATTACAAACGGGGCACAAAGTCTAATGGAAAACAGGGAAGATTAAATTTATCTAGAATTTGAAAATGGCAGCACCGCTTGAGGGATTGGAAGCAAAAACATACAAGCCTAGGTCATTCCTGTTGATGACTCCTTTATCAATTCTTGATTGATAATATTGGTCCTGGAAAGAAATATATAACAAGGATGAGATTTTAAACCTCATAATTGAACACAAAATAAAAACTCTATCTGATTAGCTAACCTTTTTAACATATGAGCAAGGACTTATACCAAATATGATCTCATTTTAGAAGCTGAATCGACAGATAGTAGAAAAATAGCAGGGATATGGAGTTACTTTTTTTCTAAAATGAAGTTCAATGACTCGTCTCACCCAATTGCCTATGTGTGGAATGGTTTTCATAAGAACATCTCTTGCATGTGCACATTTTATTACGAAAACTTTTTAATCTCTACCATACATTTTTCTAATGATAAATGAACGTTTGTGCAAGGATAGTTACAAAAAAAGGATGAGAAAGTGTTCAAGTTGACCTCGTGAATTAATCCAGGATAGCTAATCAATGATAGTTACAAGAAAGGATGAAGGTTTAATCTCAGGGTTTTTAATGATAGTTAGAAAAAACTACCTTGTAATTGTTAGGGTTGTTAGCCATGGATTGAAAAAATAAAAGATTAAAAGTTTAAAGTTCTCATTTATAAAAGATGGCCTTAAGATAAGCTAATAAGGTGTTCTATAAGAACTCATGCTATAAAACGAAAGTTCTCATTTATAAGGTTGGGCTTAATGTTCATAAGAGGTACTCTATAAAAGGTGTGTGCACGGATGCATGTGTGTCTATGTGTTTGTGTGTGAGAGAGAGTTTGTATAAATCAGCACGCTCTGCCATTTCAGGTTCAGTCCCATCAAATTTTGAATTTCTCCGGTTTCAGCCTCAGCCAAATGGGCGCAGAACAACTCGGATCAAGTGAAGGAAAGTAAACAAACCTTCAAATTGAGTATAAATAGAGGTATGTGACTTTCTTTTACAAGAGCCACAGCACAACCACCCCATCCAGCTCCTGTAAGCCTTGCCCCCAAAGCACCATTATCGCGACAAACCTTTACAAGTTCTTCCAGCTCAGGACAGCTGTTTTTTACAGATACAACAATAGCAAACAAAATAAAAGTAAGATAGAAGTATGCAATAAAACTCTAGTTTAAAGAGTGCAAGCAAAACTACTACTTATGTTCCTATAAATAAAAAAATGCAGATATTAAGCATTTTGTTGGTTTCATGGAGGTCTTCCCAGTAACATAGTAACCCAATATAGATTTTATACAACAAAAATACCAAAGGTAGTGTACCTGCACTCATAGAGAACACTGCAACTGTAATGGCTCTCATTCATAAGATCACCAAGTTTCTTCAGCTTTTCATCCTCACTGTCAAGTGAGACAATTGAAATTTAAATTTGAAGTTCGAAGTGCTTTTTCTTTTTGCTTGAAGCCCACATATATTTCTAAAATTTGGAAGGTATGTATGTAAATTGAATGTCCCACATCGAAATATTACAGGGTGACATATTAAATTTAAAATTTCTTAAATTAAACTATTAGAGTAGCTAATTGATTGCATTCAATGTTTTAGTGTTGCTTGATGCCTTGACCCAGTAAAGCGACCCAAACCAATTACGAAATCTATCATATATGGACTATTATGTAAAACTGATCTTTTTATGAAGCTCAAATGCAATGTGAGGGCTGAGGCCAATAGTAAAATGCTTATTTACTTGAAAAAGGACAGCCATAAGCTGGGTAAAAGAAGGACCAAGTACACAACAAAAGTAGTTATAAGCCAACAACTAAATTTGTATTAGAGATTTGTGACATACCTTAGACTTGACGATACTGTATCTTTAAAAGCGTATACACGCTTAGCCTCAGAATAAACATGAGCTGCTCTCTGGATGGAAAATGTGAATGTTAAACTATTAATAACACATTCAAATGAAAAAACCCATAACAGGTTCAAGTCCGAGCAGAGTCGCATAGATAACATGAGTGGTTTGGTTTGAGTACCTGATGTAATTTGAAGTGGGTTGCAGCTTCTAGAACATCCAAAGAGGATGGGGAATCGGCAAAGATGGTTTGAAGGTTTTCTTTTGTAACATTTTCAATATCTTCAGCACTATATGGCTCTTCCTTCAAAAGTTCCTGATACACCAACACATAGATCTTATGTACTAAATTTGATGAACTAGATAATGATAATGAAAAGAACAAACAGTTCTTTGAGGCCTGCAGTTCTAATCCCCTGCCCGGTTGTCAACATTGGCACCCACGGGCTTATTCGTGCCAAAGGTCCCGAACACCCACATTATAAAAAAAGAACTAGATAATGATAATGAAATACATATCTACACTTCTTGAATATATGGTTCACATTGCAAGCAAAACTGTAAAAATGGTTCACATTTAAATCAGGGAAAGCTGATGTTACCTTGACTGCAATGACAGGATCAGAAGATCCAAGATCAGTAGCAAATGATATGCATAAGCCTTCAACATCAGAAAGTGTTTTCACTTTCGATATTGCCTCATGAGGATCCATCCCAAGCTTGATAGCCAGAACAATCTGCAAAACATTACAATAAACACAAATGGAGGTTCATAAAAATGTAAAATAGATAATTATAGACCACATCACTAGAGAGTATAAACACATATTCTGCTAAAAGAATACAGAAGACCTACAGAAGCTAGCCTGCATTCAACAACCCGGTTATTGTAGTGTACAGCAGCAGTGACTGCCTTTTGTGATTCAGCTAAAGAGTGAGCTATAACAAAAGATCCGCCATCAGGAAGCTGAACATCAGTTGAACGTATTGGGTTGAAATCAATCAACTCTGCAAATCCAGATTGAGCCATGATAGAAATTGCCTGCAGGATAACAGTATATATATATACACATTTATTTTTTTGAAAGAATATATATATACACATTTATATGCACATACATCACTATTCATATAAAAACATAGACTTGAAAAATCAAATAAACAGAAAAGGCTTCCCTTGAATCAATGAGCAACAAATTCATATCGAACCTTCTCCAGGGTACCTCGTATCAATCAGTGTTGATCATTACCAAAACGTGAGACAAGTTTATAGTCATACCTGATCCATTCCACCAGATTGTGTGCCAATGTGCCTTTCACATTCACATGCAAGTTGAGCAAGTTCTTTCTGTAAATAATGAAGAAACATTATTTCACTTCTGAAGAAAGCAATCGCAACTCATAAAACCATGTACTCTGTAATATAATTTGTAATTCAAACTCTTAAGGCATGTATGACGTTCATATGGAAATTAGTACCTTTTGAATGCTGACACCAAAAGAAGCCATTATAGCTATGGTGGCGGAGCAAACAAATGCGGCAGAGCTTGAGAGTCCAGAACCTACCCACACAGGCAATGAGTAAGAGACTCGGAATCCAAGCACATGCATTAGCAGTTATTGCAGTGTTCCATACAGCCAAAACATAATGCATAAATAACTACCCTACCTGTTGGGACTATGCCATCAATAAGAACATCAAGTCCAACTGGTACACCCACATCTATTCCTTTCGATTTGGTGTACTCATAAAACCCTTTATATCTGAAGAAATCGAATAATGAAAATGTGATGTCAACACAAAATTCTTTGAATAAAATAAACTACTAAACCTGTTATGGGAAAAGTAGAATTTGGACATAAAAAACTAGATCTTACCCGCAAATAAAATAATGACCCCATTTATGATTCTTAAGATCAATCACCTGTAGCCACAAAAAATACTTTCTTCATAAACATTTTGCAAAACTCTAACAAAAACAATAAAAGGTGCTGTCTTGGGCTATATCTTATAAACAACACTACTACCAGTAAAATCACAAACAAACATACTCCGAATTATCAAGTATCTTTTGTGCTTATACCAAAATATTAACGAATCAAGCTTAGAAAACCAAGTACTAAGAATTCAGCTTTATAATAACATTTGATTAACTACTACTCCGTAGTAAGTAATTTTTAATAAAAAAATGCAATACTGCATTATGCAATGGTAATGACTCAGGGAAAGGCGG